TGCCAGGATTCAGAGATCCAGGAATTAAGGCGGTGGAAATGGGAGTGGCACCACTCACCATTACACTTTTCATCATAATAATCAAGGATTGTTAACTTTACATCAACATATTTGAGTTACAGGACATCAAGGGGAATAGTGATCATTACCCTAGGACTATACCTCTTTGTGGGAAAGGGTTTGCATGTTTTGGCGTGGATACAGGATAGCTGTATCATGTTAGGTGCAAGTATGACCTTATCATTGTCTTTATTTGGATGTTAGATATAATTTAAGGGGATATGATGGGTGCCAGGTCAACAAGGGGTGGGCTTGTGATGGCTAATTTCATATGTCAACTTGGCTACACCATGGTACCCAAATATTTGAGCAAACACCACTCTAGTTGTTGAGATTAACATTTAAATCAGTAGATTATGCTCCATAATTGTGGGTTGTTTCATCTAGTTGAAGGCCTTAAGAGAAAAAAACCTCTAAAGTCCCCTGAGGAAGAGGGAATTCTGCCTCTAGACTGTCTTTGGACTCAAGCTAGAACATCACATCTTCCCTGGGTTTCTAGTCCGTCGTTCTGCCCTACAATTTCAGACTTGCCCCCACAATCATGTGAGGCAATTCCTTAAAGTAAATCTCCCTCTATATATTCATATAGACACATTCTATTCATTCTGTTTTTCTGGAGAACCCTAATAAAATTACTTTACAAATAAAGTTAATAAAATTACTGAATTAATTTGGAGGAGTGACATATTTAACATACTGTGTCCTCATTTAAGAACCTGAGTCTTTTTTTTTTTCAGAAAACATTTTTAATTTATTGCCCTACCATGAAAACAAATGGAGGTGTTTCTGCAACACAATTCCACCATCCACTCTCTATTCTCCTATTTCATCTTTGCTATTGATCTTGCTCTCATAAAAGCAGGGGATATATATGAAATTCTCAAAATGGTTCTGTTGAAGGACAGTATCCTCCTTCCTTTAAGGAGAACTAAGGTCTCACCATCCTGCTTTCTCCAAATGAAATCGCTTTACAAGACTCACTTATCTCCAGCTCTTAACTCTTTAGATGGACATCTCAGTTGAGAGGCTCAAGAGCTGTGAAATTGATTATTGGGCATTTCCAATAAATATCTTCATTTTGTGTCTTACAAATCACTTTGGTATGTGGTGTCTATAAAATCTTGGTGCCTCAGTTACTATTTCCACTTTAATATCCTGACACATGTGGCACCCTCCTCCTGTGATTAACGGGACAAGATATAACTTGGTGTGTATGGATAATTCTTAAGACTCAGGTAAAGCAACACCTTCTCTGGGAAGTATTTTATATTCTTTGCCACCAGCACTGAATTGCTCTGGTATCAGACAGCCAGGATTCAAATCTTCCTTTCACTAACTGTATGATCTTAGAGTGTTCTTCACCTTTTTTTCCCCCACAACCACTAGAATGGCTTTATTTTATTAAGACAATTTTTTGTACATACAAAAAGCTGTATATAATTCATGTATACAATGTGATGAATTCAAAATAAGTATACAACCATTATACCATTACCACAATCTGTGGCATAAACTTATCACCTCCAAAAGTTTCCCCCTACCCTCTTACCTTTTTTGTGTGTGATAAGAACATAACATAAAGATATGCTGTTTTAGCATATCTCTAAGTATACAATAGTATTGTTAACTATGCGGTACATATCTCTAGAACTTATCTTGTATAACCAAAACTTTGTACCCTTTGACTAATACCCACACATTTCCCCCTCTGCCAAGCCCCTGGGCACCATTCCACTCTCTGTTTCTATGTCTCACCACATCAGTGGTATCATATAGTATTTGTTCTTCTGTAACTGGCTTATTTCACCAAGCATAAGGTCCTCAGGTACATCCATGTTATTGCAAATGGCAGGATTTCCTTTTTGAAGGTGGAATAATATAACACTGTAAGTACAGGCCAAATGTTCTTTATCCATTCATCCACTGATGGACATTTAGGTTGCTTGTATGTCTCGGCTATTGTGCACAGTGCTGCTATGAACACGAGATTTCAGATATCTCAAGATTCTGCTTTCAATTCTTCTGGACATGTATCCAGAAGTGGAACTGCTGGATCATATGGTAGTTCTATTTTCAGTTCTTCTGAGGAACCTCCATACTGTTTTCCACAGCACCTACACCAATTTACATTCTCATCAAGAGTGTGCAAAGGTTCTCTTTTCTCCACAACCTTGCCAACACTTGTTCTTTTGTTTTCTTAAAAGTCATCCCAACAGGTGTGAGGTAATTTCTCATTGTGGTTTTGATTTACATTTCCCTGAGGATTACTGGTGCTGAGCACCTTTTCATATGTTAGTCATTTTTGGAGCCATCTTCTTTGGAGAAATGTCTACTCAGTTCCTTTGCCCATTTTTTTTTTGGTGAGAAAGATTCACTCTGAGCTAACATCCGTTGCCAATCTTCCTGTTTTTTTGCTTGAGGAAGATTAGCCTTGAGCTGACATCTGTGCCAATCTTCCTGCATTTTGCATGTGGGATGCCACCACAGCATGGCTTGATGAGTGGTGTAGGTCCATGCCCAGGATCAGAACCTGCGAACCCAGGCTGCCAAAGTGTAGTGTGCAAACTTAACCACTATGCCACTGGACTGGCCCCTAGACTGCTTTTATTTCTTTCATCAGTGTTTTTTAGATTTTGCTTTACAAGGCTTTCACCTCTTTGGTTAAGTTTATTCCTAGAGTATTTCATTCATTTTTGATGCTATTGCAAATAGGATCATTTTCTTAATTTCCTCTTCAGATATGTTAGTGTTCAGAAATGGAACTGACTTTTGTACTTTGATCTTATATCCTGCAACATTAATGAATTTATTAGTTCTCAGAATTTTTTGGTGGAGCCTTCAGGGTTTTCTACATACAAGATCATGTCATCTGCAAACACAGGTAACCTTACTTCTTCCTTTTCTATTTGGATACCTTTTAAAAATTTTTTTTATTGGCTAATTCCTCTGCCTAGGACTTCCATTACTACATTGAATAGAAGTGACAAAGGTGGGCATCTTGCCTTGTTCCAGATCTTAGAGGAAAACTTCAATTTTTCACCATTGAGTATGATGTTAGCTGTGGGCTTGTCATATATGATCTTTATTGAGGTAAGTTCCTTCTATATCTAACTTGTTCAGAGTTTTTATCATGAAAAGATGTTTTCCCAAGAGCATTTTGCCAAATGCTTTTTCTGTATCTACTGAGATGACCATGTTTTTATCCTTCAGTTAATGTAGTATATCACACTATTTTGCATATGTTGAACCATCCTTGCATTCCAAAGATACATCCTACTTGATCATAGTTATGATCCTTTTAATGGGCCGTTGAATTGTTTGTAAATATTTGTACTTTTCATCCATGCTCATCAAGGATTTTGGCCTGTAGTTTTCTTTTCTTTTGGTGTCTTTGTGTGGCTTTGCTATCAGTGTGATGCTGGCCTCATAAAAATAGTTTTGAAGTGTTCTCTATGCTTTTAGGTTTTGGAAGACTTTACAAAGGGTTGGTATTAATTCTTATTTAAATGTTTGATAGAATTCACCTGTGAAACCATCTGGTCCTATGCTTCTCTTTCTTGGAAGGTTTTTTCCTTTCTGACTCAATCTCATTATTTGTTACTTCTCTGTCCAGGTTTTGTTTCTTCTTGATTCAGTCCTGGTAGGTTGATAGTTCTAGGAGTTTATCAAATTTTTTGGCATATAATTGCTCATAATAGTCCCTTGTGATTTTTAAAAAATTTCTGTGGCATTGCTTGTAATGTCTTCTTTTCCTTTCTGATTTTGAGTCTTCTCGCTTTTCTTCTCAGTTTGCCTAGCTAAAGGTTTATTCTTTCTTTTGAAAGAACCAACTCTTATTATTCCTATCTTCAGCTAACTTTGGACTTAGTTTGTTCTTTTTCTAGTTCTTTGAGGTATATTAGGCAGTTTGTTTGAGATCTTTTTTAATGCAAGAAGTTATCACTATAAACTTCCCTCTTAGTACATCCCATTTTACTGCATCCCATTAGTTTTGGTATATTGTGTTTTCGTTTTCAGTTGTCTGAAGCGAGTTTCTAATTTCCCTTTTGCTTTCTTCTTTGACCCAATGGTTGTTCAAGAATGTTGTTGAATTTACATGTATTTGCAAATTTTTCCATTTTCTTTTTGTTATTGATTTCTAGTTTCATTCCATTTTGGTTGGAAAAGATACTTGGAATCATTTCACTCTTCTTAAATTTGTTAAGTCTTGTTTTGTGATCTAGCATTTGATCTATCCTGGAGAACGTCCCATGTAGCTTGAGAAAAATGTGTATTGTGCTGCTGGTGGATGGAATGCTCTGTATACATCTGTTAGGTCCATTTGGTCTAATAGAGTAGTTCAGGTCCACTCTTTCCCTATTGATTTTCTGTCTGAAAAACCTGTACATTACTGTAAGTGGGGTATTAAAGTCTACTATTATTATATTGCTATCTATTTCTCCCTTCAGATGTGTCAAAGTTTGCTTAATGTTTAGGTGCACTAATGTTGAGTGCACATATATTTATAATTGTTATATTCTCTTGATGAACTGACTCTTATTATAAAATGATATTGTCTCTTGTGATAGTTTTTGACTTAAAATCAATCTCAGCATTCATCTAAACAGGTTTGAGCAAAACTGAAACTGCTGATCCTACCCTCTTCAATGCATCGTTTCTCCTTTCTATGTTCCACCTGACTGCTGTAATCTCTCACCTGGAAACCAGAGCTTTCAAGAAGGTATTTTTGTGCACAGATCGTTGTCAAAGTGGAGTTTCTCTGAGAGAATGAAGGCTGGAACTTCCTATTCCACTATCTTGCCAATGCACTTTGTCAAATCAAGCGAAGTCTTTTTACATCCTAAGTAAAATGGCACAAAACGATTCATTCTAGGTATTCCTAATGGCATCCCAATGATGCTGCTTCCTTGAAAAGCACACTTTGTTGGTGAAGATGAAGAAGGTCAAGGAAATAATCTGATTTGCTGAAATAGATGGAAATGGTAAGCAGCTGATCCAAGTTGGGAATCCAGGTCTGGCTGTCTCTGGTATCTATGATGTTTAATCATAAAGCTTCACAAAATTGCTCCAAAGGTCTTGAATCCAGACATGACAAAGACGATGACAATAACAATGGCGCTATCAATAGTAAGTAACAACATCAGCGGGGATCATAACTGCCAACCCACATACACTTGGAGAAATGGATTCTGTTCTCAGTTTTGTCATACAGTAAACCATTTACTCTCACAACAGCCCTGTGAAGTAAATACTACGTTACTAAATTACCCATTTTACCAATGAGAAACCGAGGCAGAGAGAGATTATTAACCTGCACAGGGCAATACAGCTCCTAGTCAGCAGAGTTAGGATTTGACACCAGGTGTTACGGCTTCAGAGAACTACACTAAGCAGGAAACACCTCAAGCCCTCTCAGGAGCCAGCAGCCTTGGAGAAAATAGGCTGTAGAGGTGTGAGGGAGAGGTGAGTGAGAGGACTTAACCATAGGGAACAGGAGAGCAAAGGAGGGGCATTTTGGTATTTCATAAAGGAGTAAAAAATATTGTTTCCTACAGTGAGGATCCTATTACACTGGATAAATGATGAGTGTTCAGTGAAGGCCATTCCACATTTACTGGCTGATCTGCTGGTGTTTTATGAGGTGTGACTTGAGAATGAAAGCTTTCCCACACTTGATGCACTCACAGAGCTTCTCTCTCCAGTGTGCTTCTTCATGTGTCGTTTTAAACTAGAGATGTAGCAAAAGGCCTTCCCACAGACTTTGCATTTAAATGGTTTTTCTCCAGTGTGGGTCCTGTGATGAACACAAGACGAGTGTTGGTCGATGGCCTTTCCACATTTATTGCATTCGTGGGGCTTCCTTCCAACGTGCATCATCACGTGTTGACTCAAGTTAAACTTGGAGCAAAAGCTTTTCCCACATTCTTTGCACTTAAAGGGTTTCTCACCAGTGTGGATCCAAGTATGTTGGACAAAACCAGAGTAGTAGGCAAAAGACTTTCCGCATTTGCTGCATTCATAGGGCTTTTCTCCAGTGTGAATCCGTCGGTGCTCTGTGAGGTGTGACTTGCGGTAAAAAGCTTTTCCACACTCACGGCACTCATAGGGTTTCTCGCCAGTGTGAATCTTCATGTGCTGACTCAAATTAAACCTGTTTGAAAAGGAGTTCCCACAGTCTTTGCATACAAAGGATTTTTCTCCAGTGTGGCTACTATTGTGCTGGAAAAAAGATGAAATTTGGGTGAAGGTCTTTCCACATTCATTGCACTCAAAGGGCTGCTCTCCAGTGTGAATACGCTGGTGATACATGAGGTGGGACCTCTGCTTAAAGGCATTTCCACATTCTTTGCACTCTAAGGCTTTCTCTTGAGTGTGGATCTTACTATGGCGGACAAATACAGATTTGAAGGTGAAGGTCTTTCCACAGTCATGGCACTCATAGGGCTTCTCTCCAGTGTGAATCTGCTGGTGGTATGTGAGGTGGAACTTATGTTTGAAGGCTTTTCCACATTCTTTGCACTCAAAAAGTTTTTCTCCAGTATGAATCTGTTGGTGCTGCATGAGGTCTGACGTAGAGCTGAAGGCCTTTCTACACTGTACACACTCATAGGGCTTTACTTCAGCACGAATACAGTCATGTTGTGCAAGATCCTGGTTCCTGACAGTCCTGCATTCACTATATTCACAATGGTTCTTCCCTGCACGACCCATGGGGTCTTTACCTCGTCTGTGTGCATCACCTACTGGAGAGGCTCGCTCTTGTAAAACCCTTGAGTGTAGATTGTCATCTGTCCCCAACTCATTGCACTCAGGGCTCACGTTCCCAGGGCCAGTCTCCTTGTGGCGGTCTGTCACTGGCCTTAAGACTCCCTCCTGCATTTCTGACGGCACTTCCTGAGTTTTGGTTTCTCCAATCCTGGAGTCCCCTGAAGCTCCCTGTGTCATCCACACCTCAAGTGAGGGTCCCTTGGACAAGAGCAGCTGAGAAATGGTTGGCTCTGTAGTCTCTGATTTTGCTCTGGCTCCTGAAAAGAATTCAATAAATAAGAGTGACCTATTAGTGATGCCAACATAGAAGAAACAAAACCACCACTTTAGAGTGAAAATGAAGATGAAAATAATTCCACTGAGCTTGATATGTTTTCACATCTCTGAAACCTATGCTTACAATTTTGTTCTTTTCTGTCCCTGGGCTCTTGACATTTAAAAGGGAAACTCGAGAGGAGGTGCTGGGGCAGAAGACAGAGGGTCTGGTGTGAGACTCCTCCTTAGAGTCTTGAGTTGAGGAGGGTGGACAGAAAAATGATGACATCACATTCAGTATGTTGGCTCTACGAGAGAATGTCTCATCAGGTGCTGGGAGAGCACAAGTGAGATGCACCAATTCCAGTCCAGAGGGGACAGTGAAAGAGATCACAGGAGGTTTCCCAGGAGGTGCACCATGAGTTGTTTCCTGACAGAGAGGTAGAAACTGCCTGACAGAGAAAGTGGGAGAGGGTGCTGCAGGCAGAGGGGACAGAATGCACACAATCAGTCTCGAGTGAAACCCGGATGCTTATAGAACTTCAGGGCTTGGAGATATGGAGGTAGGGGCAGGCAGAGGCAGAGGGTAAGCCCAGGGTCCCAACTCAGGTGCCAGCGAGTACAGTCACTGCCATTCCCCAGACAAGGTTTACAAGGCAGATGTGAGCACAATCTGAGTGGACACACTGAGTCTGCTTTGCTGGAAGAACAGCCAGGTAAAAAGACACAAAATAGATACAATCTGGATAGTGATAATTATAAATATTTACTTAGAGGCATTACAGCATAGACATGTAAATGGAAAGATTAACAATATAAACATGTTCGTCCTTCCTCAACAGATCTATAAATTCAATAAACTCTAGACAAATTCAAAACAGCGTTTTTCATAGGACTTAAAAAGATGATTCTAGAACTGATGTGGAAGAGTAAAGGGCCAAAATATAGGGCCAGATGATTCACCACTAAATTCTATGAAACATTTAAGGAAGAAATAATGCCAATGCCAAATATCAATTCTCTACAATCTCTGCCAGAAAATAGCAAAGCATGGAAGACTCTCCACCTCACTTTATGAGGTCATCATTACCTTAACAGTAAAACCAAAAACAGGTCACAAAATCTACAGACTAATATCCCTCAAGATCATAGACACAAAAATATCGAACAACATATCAGCAAACTGAATCCAAGATACGAAAGATAATACATCATAAAGAAGAGAGAGTCAACGCAGGAACGAAAGGCTGGTTCAATATTTAAAAATAAATCAATATAACTGACCCTATTAAAAGAGTAAAAAGAAACCTATATGATTGCATCAACAGATGAAAAAAAAAAAACTTCTCAAAAACCTACGGAAAAGAATGGATTAAGTACAAATCTAATATGTGCAGAATTTGCATGCTGAAAATTGCAAAACATTGATGAAAAAAATCAAAGCAGATCTAAATAAATGGAAAGAGATTCCATGATCATGGATTGGAAGAATCAATACTGTTAAGATATCAACTCTCTCCAATTTAATCTTTGGGACTCGATATAATCCTAATGAAAATTCCATCAAGTTCTTTTTGAAGACATTGAAAAGGCAATTACAAAATTTATATGAAAAGTCAAAGGAAGTAGAAGCAACAAAATCAGAAAAAGAACAAAATCAGAGGATATACGTTATCCAATTTAAAACCTATTATGAAGTTAGAGAAATCAAAACTGGGGTGTTGGTGAAAGTATACAGACACAGGTCAGTGGAATAGAATAGACAGCCCAGAAACAGCCACCCTCAAATACAGTAAACTCCTTTTTGAAAGATGCACAGTCAATTCAACAGAGAAATAACCGTCTTTTCAACAAAGGACTCTGGATGTTTGTAAGGGGTAAAAAAAAATACACCTTGACACACACCTCACAGCTTATAGAAAAAAACAACTCAAAATGCATCCTAGACCTAAATGTAAAACATAAAAATATAATAATTCTGGAAAAACACACAGGAGAAAATCTGTGAGACCTAGTGTTCAGTAATGCATATTTAAAAGAAAAAAATATCAATAAATTGCACTTTATCAAAATTAAAAACATTTGCTCTATGAAAGATACTGTTAAAAGAATGAAAAGAAAAGCTGCAGATAAAGATAAAATATTTGCAAATCACATATCTGATAAAGGACTCATATCCAGAATAAATAAAACTTAAAACGCAAATATAAAAAAATAACAACAAAACGAGCAAAAGATCTGAACAGACATTACGCAAAAGATACACAGATGGAAAATGAGCATATCAAAAGATGCTCAATATCACTTCTCAAAGAGAAATGAAAATGAGAACCACAATGAGTTACCTCTACATATGTTAGAAATGGCTAAAATTCAAAAGAAAAAACTGGCAATACCAAATGCTGGTGAAGATATGGATCATGCGGAATTCTCACTCATTGCTGGTGGGAATGCAAAACGGTACAGCCACTTTGACAGGCAATTTGAATTTTCTAAGAAGTTAAAGAAATACCATATAACCCAGCAATGCCATTCCTAAATGTTATCCCAAATGAATTGAAATCTTATGTTCACAGAAACACTTGCATGTGAATTCTTATGGCAGGTTTATTCATGAATAGCCAAGCACCAGAAGCCACCAAGATGAAGGGATAAACAACCTGGTACGTGCATACGCTGTGATACTCTTCAGCGATAATTAAGAACGAACTGTAGACTCACCCAATGACATGGATGAATATTAAATGCATTTTGCAAGTGAGAAAAGCCAGACCCAAAAGGTTACAGGTTTCATTCACATAACATTCTAGAAAGAGTAAAACTATGGAGACAGAAAACAAATCACGGGTTGCCAGTGAATGAGGAAGGGAAGAGTGGCTGACTATAGAGGGGACACAAAGGAGAAATCTGTAGGGAATGGAACTGTCTTGCATTGTACTGGGGTGGCAGGTATATGCCTCTATGCTTTGTCAAAACCCAGAGAACTGTACACCACAGTGACTGAGCATTAACATGTGCAAATTAAAATAAAACAAAACAAAACCCCAAAAACAGGCCATCAGAGGATCCCAGGATGGAATGCAGATTGTGAAAAATGAACCTAAGTGAATTATACACATATGGCATAATCTCACTGGAGGCAGGGGAAAATGAGCTGATCTAACTAACTTTGGAAAATAGTGTTTTGACTGGACATTGTAAAGCTAAAGACAAAAATAACTACACATAAACATTGTACCCTAGTTGGTAAATTTGTTTCCCAGGGAAATTACTTTATGTGTATAATTGGGTTGAAAAAAATAAGTCATTAAATGGTAGATAATGAAAGTGAGATTTGTCATGTCAGAGAAAGAAGTTACATATATGCATGGAGGGAAGGCTAGAATGAACCATGTCAAACCAGATTAGAGTTGAGAAGTAATTATAATATACATACCTATATTTCTTAGCTCTGTTCTGAGAGGGTCTAGAAGCAACACTGTAGCAACAAGCCCACCCAGTGCCTAGATCTTGGTTTCTTTTCTTTCTTCTTTTTTTGTTCTTTGCTGAGGAAGATTCACCCTGAGCTAACACCTGTGCCAATCTTCCTCTATTTTGTATGTGGGTCGCCACCACAGCATGGTCGCTGATGAGTGGTAGAGGTCCACACCTGGCAACCGAACCCGGGCTGCTGAAGCTGAGTGCGCCAAACTTAACCACTAGACCACAGGGCCAGCCCGATCTTGGTTTCTAAATACTATTATTTGATAGTATTTAAGAAAGGGAAGCAGGGATCCTTGGAGAGACAGCTGATTCTATGGCAGGGACAGAAAAGAAATGAAGCTCTCACAGTGCAAGAAAATAAGAAAGTGCTCAAAAACTAAAGAATAGGGACATGTTAAAGGGACACAGGAGCCAACCTGAAAGAGCTCTCCATGTCCAAATCTGGAACAATTTACACGACAAAACAAATATGTAACATTGGATTACAACCCAAAGTATAAAACAAACATACATGAGTCTACACTGATATAAATAAATGATCATACACTGATATAAATAAATGATCAATTAGATAAATAAATGTGGAAGAAGGGACAAATCTTCTCAATGGAGAATCCCAAGTAATATATGTAGATACTACTTCCCTTGAGTATGGGCTGGACTTGGGGACTCACTTTCAAAGAACAGAGCACAGAAAGGGAAAAATAATAACTTTACAGTGAAGAAACCTGGCAGACGCCACCTTAACCGAGTAATTAAAGTCCCCATCACCAGTGATGCTGTGTGGATATTATGTAGCGCTTATACGAGGTGATGAGAAGGACACTTCACCTCTGTGGAAGTCTTCTTAAAACCCAAAACCCATCTAAACAGGAGTAACATATCAGAGAAACCCAAATTGAAGGACATTCTATAAGATGCCTGACTGGTATTTTTCAAAATTGCCAACGTCATGAAAAATAAGGCAAGACTGAGAAACTGTCACAGGCCAGAGAGACTAAGGGGACATAAGAACCAAAGGCAACGTGCCATCCCACGCTGGATGCAGAAAAAGATAAAGGACGTTGGTGGAAAAACTGGTGAAATCCAAATAAAGTCTGGAGTTTCATTAATAAATGAAACTTGACATATGTAGCATGGCTATCATGTAAGATGTTAACGTAAGAAGTAACAAGTGAAGGAAGGGCATATGGAAACTCTCTACACTATAAGCCTCAAATGATTCTAAAATAAAAAGTTTACTTAAAAATGAACCTTTGAAGCTTCCTTTGAAAGCTATACAATAAGTTGTCACATGTGGTATCACAATTACACCTACAAAAATATCGTAATAAAGAAAACAATGCTCCTAATGCCGGGAGCTAATTAATTAAAACAAGTTATTAATACTAAGTTATTAATCCTAATTAAGAGAACTTGTGATTTGGGATGAAACCTCATATCAATCATGATTCATCTCAAACAATACAGACAGGAGAAAATATGAGGTGGGTACTGTATTAGATGATAACAATGCCAA